CAAATGTTTTCAACAAGCTAAGCCGGCTAATTTCAGGAATCCGCCTGATCCTTGAAAAAAAAACTAGAAATTGGTTCCTTTTTTTTTTTTTGCCTCTTTCATTTGCTCGATTATCCCACTCTTGAGCTAAACTTTGAGGAGGGGAGGAGGAGGAGGAGGCCAGTGCTTAAGATGCCATCACACACCCTTTTCTCCGTGTGTGGCAGGACAGATATCTCCTTCTCATGCTTTCTTTTTCTTTAAACCTCCTCTAGACGCTTGTCTGTCTGGATCAGCAAAGTATATTTTCCAGTGACAAAGGTTTTTTTCAGACCGGGATCGCGCTTTTGCCCCTTTTTTCCCACCATCACTATGCTAGACCACCGCTACACTAATGGTGGGGCATTAGCATTTCAAGGAGCCTCCATTAAGGAGGGCAAGAAAAGCTGCTCTCAGCGGGGGGAAATCCATTTTGTCCCAGGCTCCAACATCTGCTGCAGCCGTCCCAGCCAGAAGGACGCTCGGATAAAGCCGAAGAGCCCTCTGATTTACTGTAATGACAGACAGACAGACAGACAGACAGATAGATAGACAGGCAGGCAGGCAGAGCGGATGACCATATGCAGAAGCAAGGGAGAAAAAAGGAAGAGACAAAAACAACTTCTGTCTCACTGTCTGTTGTTTCCTGCTGCTTTTCTACGTGCATGTGCAGACGTGGTGGAGGGGGTGGTCACGGAAAAGGAAGGGTGCCAGCTTAAGCTGCCCTGAGTGAAATCCTTTAAATTCAACATAAAGACAATGTTTGGAAATAATCTTATAAATGAACTCACAGTTGTATGAAAACAGTTTAATAGAAATGGTAGGGAGACATCTGTGTTCATAATGAGAAACACTCACAGGCTGGGTGTCATCTGGCCTCACATAATGCCTAAAAAGACCTGAACCAAAAAGAGAAGACAAGTCAAAGAGTGAGGCAGACGGACAGAGCGACGTAGGGCCTTGATCCCTGCCCCATCTGTCCTCCTGCTCCTCCTCTATCTCCTTCATCCCTCCCTCCGCGGTGGTCTCCTGTTTGCCCCAGTCTAAACCTACTAAGTCTCTCACCGCGCTAAAGCCAGGACAGCACGGAGGTGAGCTGGATCGCACCCTGGCCAGCTGGGAGTTTGAGGTTTTAGCAGACGGATGGACGGATAAACAGAGAGAAAAAGATACAAAGGGAGAGCAAGAGGGAAAGAGCGAGAGAGAGAGAGAAAGATTTCCAAACTAGGAAAGCAGAAGTAAAAACAGGAGGTCAAAGCAGGAGAAGAAGAACGTGTTTTTATCTTCGTAGTAACTCATGTGATATAATGACACTCTGCCCTTCTAATGACAGTTTGTGCTGCAATTACACAACCTTTTTCCTCACCCAAATAGAGCGTTTCTGATGTCATGGCGCCACCGTGCAGATATTTTTATGTGCGTGTGCATGGCGTAAGCTTGATAATAGCACATTCTCGGAGAGGAGCAACCTCTGCGTTGCTGTGACAAAACACAACATCACTGAGATGGATAATGACTGTTGCCACGCACCCAAAGGAAACAACAAAAGACTCACTCCGGCTGATAAACACTGTATTTTTTATTTTCACAGCAGCATATCTTAATGTTTGGCCGGATAACTCGCTCAAATTCATCTGTCTCTGCTCTGTAGCATCTTGGAGGAGTGGAGATACAGATACAAGGTGTCTGCTGGAGTTTAAACAGATGGAGGGCCTCTACTGGGAAGGGCTTTTAAAGATTCTTCTCCCCCTCTAAAAAAAACCACCAAATATGTCTGCCTTAACAAGCCATTTAGTCTCATATTAATCTTAAAATCTTGGTTTAATTTAGAGGCAAACAAACACCTGCTGTGTAGGGAGAGGTAATTGTTTCCAAAAGCACTTCAAATGAGTGGAAATATGTTCAAGATATTATTTGATGAAAGAAAAATCTTGAAACAATCCCATTCAAACTGCACACTACTGAAATTATCTGCTAATTAGCTTTTGCCTTTCTAATTTGTTCTGGGAAAAAATATGATTTTAATATGCCCAATGCTAGATTTAATGACGTAATTATGAGATTTTCACCACGCATACACACACACACACACACACACACACACACACACACACGTACACTCACTAAAGCACAAGCTGGCCCATAACCAGTCTGCCAGGGAAAGAAAAAGGAGGGCGGTGATGTCATCAAGGCGAGCCGGTGCATCACATCAGTGACTGACCCCGGTGATGTCGCCTGCGGTAAGCACCTGGCTGCCTCACCTCAAGAGAGCCATTAATGCCACTAAACACACACACATCCACGCACACGCGCACATGTCTTCTGTACTTTGTGAGGACAGTACTTTCTAGGTTCTTTGTGTGTCGTAGCATTTTCAGTGTAGCTGGGCTGATGCAAAAACCGTATCTACCACTCGACTAGAATGCATTTACAGTAATAAAGACAATCTTTATTTCAAAGTTTAAAACTTGTAGTATGATTAACTACGTCACAAAACTTTGTTAGACTTCCTCTGGCAAACGCTTAGAGTCCCTCTACGGTCGTTTTTTTTTTACTACTTTAAGTGTTCTCAGTAGTCTTTAAATTGTGATTATGAAGTTTTTACCAAATATTGCGTTACCTGTGTCATTTTCAAAAGCTTTTCTTCTGCAGAGCTCCAGTAGATGATTAGCAATTTGCCTCTTAATCATGGGTCTTCACGTTGGCTTGCAGCCTAACATTGCCGGTGTAGTCGAAGTGGTAGGTAACATAGGCGCTGGTGATGCACATGTTCTGCACTCACAGCCTCGGCTAGATTTTGTTTGTCCACTGAGTGTCCATTTGTTACTTCATCCATTAAGTTTAAAACAATTAAAGTTCTGTAGGCAAAATCTTCATTTGGATATGCCAATCCTTTAATTCTTAAACAAACTCAAGCGCCATAAACCAATAAATACAACACAACCACAGCACCACACAGGTCAACTAAAGAATGGCTCCACCGGGAGTTATTCAGCTCTTGGACACTAATGTCTTTGGGGACATGATGAAAGTTAATATCATAATTAGCTTTCTTACGAGCATTGCAATCCGCTAACGCACACGCTTGTTCTGCGATTGCCCTGTGTATTTCTCCTGTATATGCAGAGTGTGGCCTGCATAGCAAAGCTCCGGGGGGGCGGAGCTTGGATTGGTTACGTATGAAATCTCACTGTTTCTGAACCTGCCATTTCGGTCTGCCAGACTTTCACAGCGATTTGAATAAAGAAATTCTTAGAAAGGTAATTTTGCATTTACTTTTCTCGTGATATGTCCTGTAGCATCAGAAAAATGCCATATGAACATGTAGACGACAAGAAAAACATGATTCTCGTCGGAGTGGGTCTTTAACATCATATACAGGACTTGACAGTTAACCAGTTACACTGTCAGTGCTGTGATGAAACACTCACCTGTATTGAATTGGATTTGCTTTGATAGAACACAACACAATACACCACCACAAGACAACAGCCACACATCTAAGCACTTCATTTGTGGGAACTCTGCGAAATATCCAAACATGCAAGAATGTCCTTCAATACAAGGCCATATGTCCTCACAAGTCAGTAATCAACACACACACACACACACACACACACACACACACACACACACACACACACACACACACACACACACACACACACGCTTACCTGACCAACAGGGGACTATCAGGCCAGACTGACCAAAATTGGACCCCTATTTCTGGTCATTTTAATGAAACAAAAATATAATAGAAAATTTCCTTTAAAGGTCTTTTACCATAATGTTGCATGAAACACACACACACACACACACACACACACACACACACACACAAAAATCAGCAAGTGTTCATCTTCAACCAAACAAAACAATAAAATTTGGAACATGACATTGAGTTTTGTGGTACAAAGACATATCTTTTTTGGAAAGAGCTCTTTATGTGTGTGTGTGCGTGTTTGTGCGTATTTGTGTGTGTGTGTTTTTGTGTCAGTCTTTGGTACCAGCCAGATTCTGTTTGTGATGCAGCTTTTACACGGCACCAGCCTGATTGATGCTTTTTTCCTCTGTGTGGTCCAGACGTAAGTCATCGAGGCCACTTGCTTCACTCTGTTTACTGGTGGGTAACTTCTTACGCACACACACACACACACACACACACACACACGTCATCCCTGTCTCCACAGGTCTGGTTCTGAGCTCCAACACTCCTAACAATTATCTCTGGCCTGAACTCACAGATCAGGCACCTCAAAGTCTAGGACTCTTACACACAAAACACACTGGCGATGGCGGCTGGAGATGTGTTTACAAGACTGTAAAGCACGCACACGTGTGTGTGTTTGTGTCTGTAAGTAAAAGGAGATGTATGAGAAGTAGGAGCAGAAGGCTAGCTTATAGTGCGCTACAGTCAGCAACTCTTTAAAAGGGAAGGCTTGAAGTGCTCTTCCCGCTACCGGATCATGTCCAGTGTCTGCACACAAAGACACACTACAAACACACACGCAAATTTGCGCATACACTCACACACACATACACTGAGCCAGATGGACAGCAGCGCTAAGGCTTAGTTTAATGACAAAAGGACCCTCAATCTGGACATGGATTTATCACTCACTTTAAAGTCCATCTGCGAGAAGTTTGGACTGAAAACACAACTGCTCAATCTCTCTCTCAGCTTGTGTTTGAGCAACTTAGCGACCACACTAACACACTTTTTCCCATACACCCCGAGGAGCCCCATACCTCCAGTGCATCTGCAACAAATCTGAATGATAAATGTGTGAAGTCAGGGGGTGGCTGGGAAGAAAAAAAGTAGAGGGGACCAGTCAATTCTCAGCACAGTGGTGGTATCATAGAATCATGTGACTAGAGGCTTTGATTTCTTGTTTTTTTTAGTGGTGTCCATGATGGCGGGGGGTGGGGAGGGGCCTGAGAGGCAGATAGACAAGAAGAGTGACAGCACGGAGATAGACTAGCTACCTATTTATAGCCCGGGCCATCTGCAGAGCTCCCTCTTGTCTTTGGTCATCCTGTTCACAAAGGCTTGGAGGCAGATTCCAGCAGCCCAGCGCCCAGCCGCTCCATTCACTATTCATTCCAGAGCCGGCAGCACCATATGGATCCGGCCCCACTGCTGGGCCCTGGCCGGCCTGTTTCTCCCTCTCTATCTCTCTCTCTCTTTCCTTCTTCAGATTGACGTGGTAATGAAGCCTGGGTGGCTCGCGAAAGTGCTTTCCTTTCTTCTTACCCCTCTTTTTCTCTGTCTTTCCCCCTCTTCGCTCTAAAAAGACGCAGGGCTCCAGCATGACCGGACACCCCTCCTCCTTCCCTCCTGTTCCCTTCCTATTAGCCTCTCTAAGACATTCAAATTATCTCATTTCCTTTCCTGACACCTGTAAAGAGCTACACGGACTCCATTTGCACTGAGGCCAGTCTTACTTTACAAAATGGCATTAAAAAACATTTAAAAACAAAATCAGCTATGAGTCAAAATGTCATTTTTTAAATCTTAAGTGTAACATGACTTGTCACTCGCCAGCCACTTCCTCTTTTCTTTTTTTTTTTTTAAGCTCACATCTCCTTTCCAGCTTGACCGTCTCACTTCAATGAGGCCAAACTGGCGATAAAGCGGAAATAGGAATCAGAGGAGGGGATTCCACACAGGGAAACTGTTAATGATGATACAAAGAGAAGAGCAGCCTCTCAGGGGAAGTACGAGGACTATGAAACTAAAACCCAGACAGAACTTCAGTCAGCCTCTCTCTCTCCTGTTTTGTCCTTTAGTCAGTGGACAAATAGGAAACTACAATAAAAAGCTTTTGTTTTACAGTTCTGTTAGAAACAGGACTCTAAAACGATGCACCCCAGTGAGCCTGTTCTTTGTGAATCTTCTGCTCAAACACTTCAGTGGGGGTGAAACTGGGTTCAAAAGGCAAAACTCACTGTTAAAGACCAGTCTGGAGATATTCTATATTCTTTTATTGGCAACAAAACTACATGGACATAATCCAAACCAATAGTATTCCCCGAGCTCATCTTGACAGCTTTTAAAAGAGTGCAAAGCTAATTCCTCTGAGCCAAAAAAACTTCATTGTGTTCCAAAATACCACCAATGAGGCACCACTGGGTGTTTTTTCTCATTAGATGAACAAGAGAACATTGTTATCATAAGCCATCCCCACATTAATTTTCCTGCTGCCATTAACATTCACCAAAGGACCAAACCTTAACAAGTCCCTAATAACACTTTTATTAAAAATGAACGATAAGTTGACTTAGTTTAACCCTCACATACCGTTCAGGGTCAAATTTGACCCGTTTTGACTTTTAACAGCAGTAAAAATACCCTAAACATCATTCTTTAAGCCTGAAACTTGACGACTTTTGCTGAAATAACCCAAAATACATGAAATTAATTTAAAAATATTCATGTGTATTTTTGTTTATGTGCTACAAATTTTTCCCCTCTAAGGCTGTTATGGGTCAAATTTGACCCGTATCTATATTTAGATGGATTTTAGATCCAACAGTGTAGGACAAGTGACAAACAGAAACAACCCTGTTCAATATAAGGTTTGTTTTTCAAAAAGATATTCAAATCATTATGAAACTATCATTACCTTGACAGAAACACACACACACACGCACGCACACACACAGACATACAGTCACACAGACACACCTAGACAGAGGTCAAAATGACCTAACTAGTCAAGAGAACTTTCTGTGACAGAAAGCTGCTCTTTGAACTCTTTGAAGGGGCAATTTTGACCCGGAACATACTGTGAGGGTACAGGATTTGAACAGTATGTGAGGGTTAAATCAAGCTGAACAATATAAAGTGTAAAAATGTTTTATTCAATTCCTACATATGAAGCTAAACCCGTCTTATAAAGTTCACTCAACTTAAAAATTGAAGCTCAGATGCTTTTTTTGGTTGTAAGAAAGTGAAAGTCTACAGTGTGATATTCAAATCTGATTACAATTGGTCTATTCACACATGTAATAGTTTAAAATATCTAATGCAGTAATTTATATTTGTGTTTCATTTTAGGCTTCGACCTCATTGCTCCTCTCTGATTATTCATACATGCAGAAATTTAAGGAGTGGTGGAATTATATCTTAACTCTCTCTCAAGCTGGAGTCTGCAGGTGGATACTGAGAGCGAAGAGTGTGAGCTGGCACAGGATTGGCAATGACAGAACAGAGGGATAGACAGAAAATCTTGCGGCTTAAATGGCCCGCCAAATTGGGTGGGTTACAGAGAATGACGCATGTCAAGTGCGAAATCAGTGCAGCTTCAGTAGCCTGTCTGAGGTAACTCATTGCATTTAAACACTACAGTGAAATATAGTCAAACACATACAATTTCAAAGTTTCTGGAGTAAAGGAAAAGTTTTGCCTAAATTGTTTTACTATGACGGTAAATTTCATGTTTCATAAAAATTTAGCCAAGTTTAAAATAGTTTGGTACTGAAGCAACTTTCAGTGCCTCCTGTGGTGAACTTTGTCCCGTATATGTGCGACTGAATAAACTCATCCCACTGTTTTTCAGTCCAAATCACTCACTGGGAATCTTTGCAGTGGAAATTGTTTAAACTGAAGCTTTTAAGCACAGCGAATTCATCAAACCTCACCGGGGATTAAAGACATCAAAAATAACTTTGTAGAAATACTAAATCTTTATGCTGATGGTCTTGTTTGGTCTTGCAGATTCTGAAGAGGGATACATCAAAATTTTATGCTGTTTCATGACCCGCTAAAACTCTTAACACGGCCTGTTATTCATCTTAAGAAAACCTCACTTGTACAAATTTACATAATTCTGTAACTTTGAGGCTGCTCACATTTAAATGTATTCAACGTAAACCAGTGATACAGGGATCCTCTGGAAACAATGATGTCAAAGCCCCATCAGACATGCATATGGTTTTCCCAACCAAATAGCCATGCAGGGGTAGAAGGACAGTTACAACAACAGCAGATTACGGTACTGTTTATGCTGCTAGCTGGCTCCCCTGCATCTTTCAGGGAAGTGCAGTTTTTATGTGTTTACCATCGACTTGTTGTTTGTTTGTACTCATTGCTCAGTTGCAGCTTTTACGCAGGTTTTCAGAACAAAATCACACCACTATCTATTTGGCCTTACAAACATACTGCAGTGCTTTTAGCTGTTCTTTCAGGTTTGCTGAAAAACTATAAGCTAATTTTATTGTTTATGGGATAAATTGCTTTTAATAAAGGTGATGGTTGTATTTTTTCAAATTTCAAACCCTAATCAACACGCTTTTCTAATGACCCCTGACCTCTTTCATGTTCAAATGTTTTAAGTAAACAGAATAAATGACATCTATTGGTTGCTTGCAAAACAGTAATGAGAACTCTCACCTCCCACCATTTCTGTCAAACTCTGCCAGCACTTCGTTTTACCTGCTAATTGCAGAAGGAGAGGAAAAACAACTGCGGCTGTTCGCTGCAACCATATTTTTAGAAGACAGATAACACTAAAAATACATTAGTACTTGGTGGTATCATTCCTCAGCTGCAATGTGCCGTTCACCTTGGGATCTGTGGAGCCTGAGGCCTAGGCCAGCCTAGTTAACCAAGCACGCTGTGCTGGGCCTAACCTAATTAGGTGCCATCCCAATGTCAACACTGCTGCGTTGAGCGCCTGATAAAAGACAAGCCTTTTCTTCCTCTGCTCACACTGTGAGAGGGCTACAAAGAGCTGGGTTAGAGAGACCCTACCATCTGCAAGCTCTGTGTGTGCATTGGTATACAGTATGTGTGTGTGTGTGTGTGTGTGTGTGTGTGTGTGTGTGTGTGTGTGTGTGTGTGTGTGTGTGTGTGTGTGTGTGTGTGTGTGTGTGTGTGTGTGTGTGTGTGTGTGTGACGCATGCATGCTGTCATATTGCTTTTGACTTTCAATGTTTGCTGCTAAATGTAGAAAATAAAGCATCTGCAGGTTCTCCGACCAACTTTTTTTATTCAAACAGGAAATCGGCAGGGATTACTGAACATTAAAATCCAATTTATAGCCACTTCAGTGAAAAGGCGCTAGCATGCTACCTAACATAATCACTTCCACATTGCATACAGTAGCTAACGTATTTCATACATGCATCTAAATGCAGCTGTTTCACTGTGGATTTCATGCCGTGTGTATTTCGTTAATTCACTCCCACTTCAAGTGTGCGCACTCTAATTTCACACCGATGAGTTTCATTTATCGGTTTTTATTTTACTCCACATCCCCAGCGTCATTAAAGCAAAGAGTCATCTTTTGTGCACAGAAATCCCAATTAGGGTCGATCAAATATGGCTCCTCGAGCACACATGCAGGCACACGCGTACACTCACAAACACTCAGTGTTGCCTTTTTAATGTGTCGTCAAACCGTCCCGCTAATTCCATTTATACGGATAAAACACTCTCACAAATAGATTACCTGCTACATACGATCCCCTCTTTCACTGTGAAATCGTGGCACAGAGCCACATCCTCCCACTGCTTGGTAGTCCATTAAAATACAGATGAGAGCGTTTTACAGCCCGGGCCAACAGCAACGCCTCCCAGCTAATCCAGCAACAAACACAAACATCAGATGAATTATCTGTAATGGAGAGGACTCTGTTCTGGCACGGCTGACGGAGAAATGAAACAAAACAAGAGTTTATTTTGGTAAATATTTGGATTTCATTTTCATTCTGCTTTTCATGTACGTAATTAGCTGGCAAATATAGATCTGTATAGAAATCCTCTCTTTTACATCAAGAGGGTGCCTTTAGGTGCGCTTCCAGCACTTTTTTTCTGCCAGAGCTGGTTCATGGAGAAAGTAGATATGAGAGGAAAGTTTCTTTGCTTCCAGCATTTGAAGAGTTTGCTTCTAAAAATGCACTTTAAGAGGAGGAATCTGCTCCATCCATCCATCTATCCATCCGTGGCCACTTGCACACTTGACAGTTTCACTGGCTCAGGAGGCGAGCAAACAATGCTGCTCTGACAAGCGAATCTCTCCCGTGTCGGAATCTCATCTACTTAAAGCACTATTTATTCAGCACACATCCTTTTAATGCTGAATCTTGGCAACGCCGCATGAAATCCAGCACCTTAATTCCATTAGCTTGTTACTCCAATAAGTCCCAATAATCTAAAGCTAACTGCAACACATACACAGGCCCTGCAAGTACACGCGCCATAGCTGCTCCCTCTGGGGTGTTTTTAATAACGCTAATAGCCTCTAAAGGTTGATTCATTCTGCTGATATCAAAGTAAATGGCCGCATTAACCTGTGATGTTTGGGAC